CATTAGGATGGGAACCATAACTCATTTTCTATCATTTTCTTTGTGTTGTCATGAGCCAATAAGGGACTCACGCTCCTTCTATTGCTCACAATCAGCCAAAAACAAATGTTTGCCTTCTCTGGCCTGCTTCTAGTTAGAGGAGCAAATGTACCAGGTTCTCAGATCCATGAATGGCTGCTGACAAAGGCTTTAATTTTTTAAGACTGGTTCTCTCTATGTAATCCCAGCTGACCAGGAACTTGCTATCTAGATCAGGCTTGTATCTGCCTCTCAAGTGCTGGGATTAAAGACATGAGCCACCATGCCCAGCTCAAAGGCTATTTTAAACAGCAATTTTTAGTTTAAGAAGAACAGTTAGCCAAGTCTGGTGATGAAAGTCTGTAACTCAGCTACCACTGATGGTAATGCAGGAAAGCCCAGTCTTAAGACTGCTAGGGCTATATAGAATGAATTCATGTCCAACTTGAGCAATGTAGCAAGACCCTGTCTAGAAATTAAAATGCTGGGCCTGGAGAGATGGCTCAATGATTAACAGCACTGTCTAGAGGACCTAGGTTTAATTCTCAGCACCCACATGGTGGTTCATAACTGTCTGCAACTCTAGTTCTAACAAGTCACATGCCTCTTCTGGAATTTGCAAGGCACACAAGTAATGCATAAATAAACACTAAAGCAAAACACCCATACACACAAAATAAAATGAAATGAATATTAAATGTCAAACGCGAAGGGCTTGTGGTATAGCTCAGTGGTGGAGGATTTGTACAGCAGGAATGGGGCCCTGGGTTTAATCCCTGGGAGAGGGGAGAGCTATTATATACAGATCCATTAAGTGAGGCTTGAGAATTGCCAGGATGCAAAGCCAACATCCCTCTGTTACTTGAAACCTGAAACTTCACCTTGGAGCACAGATGCCACGTTAAGAACAATTTATTTCCATTGCTCATGGCAGTGAAAAGGGAGGCAAATATCAGAGGAAGCTCATATGTTGACAGGACACCTGGGAACATCTGGCTCTAGAATTATCATTTCCATAAAATGTGATTAATATTGTGTCTCTGAAAATCTTGATGTTCAGAATCAAATAAATAAATAAATAAATAAAAAGAAATAAACGGTAAAAGGCCATTTGCAGGTTTGGTAAGAAATGCAGCAGTTCTCAACCAGCGGAATCCAGACCCCTCTGAGAGGGGAGTCAAACAACCCTTTCACAGGGGTTGCCTAAATCCATCGGAAAATACAGATATTTACATTACGATTCATAGCAGTAGCAAAATTACAGTTATGAAATAGCAACAAAAATAATTTTATGGTTGGAGGTCTCCACAACATAGGTGATAGCCCTGAAGGGTCTCAGCACTAGGAAGGGTGACACACGCTGGAATGGAGTGTTGTGTAGCAAGACCGTTAGGCATCCTCTGTAGGAATTCTGCTATGCACAGCTCTCCCGGCCCCTCCCACCCTCTCACTCTCCTCGCTCATCCAAGTTTTTCATTCACAACCATGAAACAGAAAGACGCATTCTTCAACAACTCTGCATCTGCTTCTGTGAGTAGCACATCGACCTGCCTCTCTCTGTCACTGGTGTGATCTCTGGGTCCACTTCTGAACCACGGGGTCGGAAGAACCCACCGGAGCTGATGAAGCGGCACAGGGCTGGCATGATGCCGAAACCCAAGCACTGAGCATTTTTTAAATACTCAATACTCAAGTGCAGCACAAAATCAAATGAATGAAGTGAATGAGGGATACTAGGGCATGGGATTCAAGTGATGAGATGGGTATGCGGTCCTAAAGGGTACACAAGGTTGAGAACTACAAGCTCAGCATAGCACCTCGGGGTTATCTTGGGACTGACACCAGACGCATGATCCTAAGCCATTCTAGTCAGTGACTTTTCAAATTTGATGCAGCAGCTTTTAGAACGGCCCAGGGTTCCTCAATACTTCTTCCGTCGTGTGGAAGAGTGTGAGTCCTCTCTCCTGGAATATGGATGAACTTTGACCTACTGCATCTAAAAAACGTATTACAACATCAATGTTCTCTTCCTTCTCGTGTTTGTTGTGATAGGCTGTCCCCCTTTGCCAGCTGAGACTCATTTTGGATCCCTGAGGCTACCGTAGAGAAGTCAAACTTCCTGGAGCTCCCCCAGGCTACAAGGAAGTTCAGGACACATGAGGAAGCCCTATGTAGGGGCTGTCACAGCCCATTTCCCATCTGACCATCTGAGACACTGGTAAGGTGAGAATTCTGGAATGTAAAGGCATCCATTTTAGAAAGTGTTCAGTATCTTTGAACGTGGCTACCAAGTAATGATTTTTCCAAATCCTAGATCATTCTTACTTAAAAGTATAAGTATCTAAAACTATATATAATGAGTTTTTCTTAACTCAGTAGAAGCCACTCTAGAAACTGATAGAGGACTTTTTTTTTAACAACTCTGTGTAATCTCAATGAAACAAGCACATTAGTTTTGAGACATCAGAAAAATGAACGGATTTTAATTATTTTAATTTTGTGTGGGTTTTGGGTTTTGAACAGTACTGGAATCCATGGGCATTATCTTATTTAGATGAATTTATATAATCGATAAAAATATTTATGTACTTATGTTTTATATGTATAAACTTCTATTCTTTTAAGTCAGTCATTTTGTATTTGATTTATTGTATCAGCCACAGAAAACTACTTCAGTCATAAATAATGTATTTCCTTATCTAAATTCTTTGCATCTACATGAGGGAAAATTGTAGTAAATTCCAGTTTTATTTCCTTGTGTTTCTCTGTCCATCTACAAGACAAATTTCAGCTCAATTTTTTATTTCTTGTGTGTGTGTGTGTGATGAGATGCACATGTAAATGCCAATGTGAAATCCTGAGGTTTTGGGGGGTTTGTTTGTTTTTTTGAGATAGGGTTTCTCTGTGTTGCTTTGGAGCCTGTCCTGGAACTAACTCTTGTAGATCAGGCTGGTCTCGAACTCACAGAGATCTGCCTGCCTCTGCCTCCCGAGTGCTGGGATTAAAGGCGTGTGCCACCACCGTTTCGCTCTGAGGTCTTTTTTCAATAACTCTCATTTTATTCATTCCTTTGAGGCATGGCCTGCCACAGACCTAAAGCTCATCAACTAGGTTAGCTCGACTGGCCAGTGAGCCTCTGGAATCAGCAGGTCTCTACCCCCTGGGTTACAGAACACCCTACCCCCAGCTTTTTAAAAGGGCACTGGGAATCCAGTCCTCATGCTTGCTGAGCAAGCACTTGCTGATTAAGCCTTTTCCCCAACACCCAACCTTGTTTTGGACACAGGATCTTTCCTTTATCTGAAGCTCACTGATTAGACTAGACTGGCTAGCCCAGCAAACCCCAGGGATCAGTCTCTGTCTGCCTGGTGCTGGGATTACAAACAGGCGCCACCACACCCAGTTTTGTAAAATGTGTACCAGGGATCAACTCAGAGCCTTTTTGCATGGCAAGTACTTTACTGTCTGAACCATTCATCTTGTCTTCAAAGTGTTACTTGCCACATAAATATTTTTTGCTACCATTGTTTATTTATTTCACATGCTTTCTGGTTTTTTTCTAAGGTATGGCCTGCTGGTCATTTTTAGGTTTTATTTACCAGCTGCCTGGAGCAAAGAGTGAAGGACTTGACTCAACATTTTAAATTCTGCTGATGGCTCACTGTTGATATTTGAGAGCAAAGGCTAAGTAAGGAAAATGAAAATGCTAGTTTTACAGTAAAGTTACTGGGGGTGAGGGGTAACAGTAGGCATGCATTGAAGAGGGGCATTCGAAATCCCAGTTGAGGGTACCCTACAAAATATACCAGTACTGGTGGAAAGCATGGGGATCATTATAAGAAACTATTAACCGAGAGCTTAGGGGACATGAATAAAATCGATGTCCTGGAACAGGAAAACAAGCACTACACAAAATGAAAACCTGAATAGTGACTTTTAAGAAATGCCCTGTGTTTATGTAAAGAGTTTGAAACTGGATACTAGACGTATGTACTCTTTGCAGTATCTTTTCCATTTTTTCCTGCAAACCCCAAAACGGTTCTAAACATGAGTTTCTCGGGGCGGGGGGAGTGGGAAGGGGAGGTGCTGAAACAGCCATCCATCTTCCCTTATGTTCCTGTTTTAAAAAAGAAGCCAAAGAAGTGAAACATCTAATACCAATCAGCACTATTCCAGAGATACCCTGGGCTGTTTCCCCCACCTCCAAAAGCTAGCCCTTACAAGAAACTAACAACACACCCCCCTCGACCATCCATTGACTCGTAAAGCTCTGATCTGGGAAGACTTCGGGTCCTTTCTTTCCCAAAAGGCCCTTCTTGGCGCGGCTTCCAGGCTCGTTCCCAGGGCTAACGGGCGTGCCATCTGCTCTCGGCCCAGGTGGTAACCAGGGCTCACGTGTCACCCGGCACCCGGTGCTGGGGAGCCGCCCCGGCAGGTCCGGGCAGGTTGCTGGGGTTAAGGCAGGGCGGCCGCCGCCGCATCCAGCGCGCGCGGCTCGTTTCCCCGGCTCCATCTGCTCCGCGGGGACCCGGCGCTGGTCGCGGTCCCACAACAAAAGGGCGCCCCGCGGAGAGCGCGCCGGCCCGCCCCGCCCCGCCCCGGCTTCCCGCGTCCGCGCCCGCGCCCCCGCGGGAATCGCTCCCGCGTCACCGCCTCCAGGTACCCGGAAGGGGGAGGGGGCGAGGCGACCACAATCCGGAGGGCGGGCCGGCCGGCGGGCGGGCGGGAGGGCGGGCGGGCGACGGGGAAAGGCGCGGCGCCGAGCGCCAAGACAGCGAGGGGCGGGGCTCCGGGCCGTGCCGCCGCGCCATTGGCCGGCACCGCCCCTGCGGCCGCCGCTCATTGGTGGATGCTCAAATTCGGTCTCAAGGCGCCAGAGGAGGTGTTTTAGCGGGGACCGCGGTCCGTCCCGGGCTGGAGCTTCGCAAAGGCGGGCAGGATAACGCCGTCACTCTGCGGACGGGCGGACGGACGCCGCTGGCTGGAGCAGGGGGGATCTGCAAGCCTCGCCCGGCCCTGCCCATGCCGCCAGCGGGCCGCTGAGATCTGCACGCACGCCCTGCCTGCCCGCGCACGCGTGCGGCTGCGGGTGTCCCCGGAGACGGAAAGCCTCCATCGCACAGCGGCAGTAAGGGAGCGTGCGACCCCCGAGGGTGGGGAGGCGGGAATGGGGAGAAGGGCTTACCCGCCGCGGCTGCCATCCCACTGGCCCGGGATCCGAGTGCCCCGGCGGCTGTGCTGGCTGCAACCCCGGGTGAATGAGACCGGCCCCTTCCCCACGATTTAAGGGGTTGCATGGGAAGAGTTTAACTTGGGGTGTTCTCAGATGCCTGGGGAGGGGCTGCTTACATCCCAGACGGGTTGGTCTCGAGATCAGGTTTCAGTCTACCTCCTACTTCAAACCCACTCAAAGTCGAATTCTTCCCAGTTCTTTGCGCCAAAATTAACTGACCTGAGAGAGACCCTATAACTTTCTGACATTTGCCTAACACCCTCCTTATTTTAATAACTATTTTGCCTGCTGGTTTTTTGTAAAGAAATTGCTGACTCGATCAGCAATTTTTCTTCCCAAATGTTCAGTGGTCGCTAAGTATATTTTAAGTGTTTGTTCACGTGAGTTATAATGAGGATCGTAGGGTGTCTGAGTTCCTGGAAATTCCGGGAATGCTCTAGGGAAGGGGAACTTGATATTCACAGATGGCGTTTTTGTTGTTGGGAGGGGAAAAATAAATGTAAAATCGTTTCCCTATATAATTGTGTGTTCCAGATGGAGGTAAATTGTTTAACACTAAAAGACTTGATCAGCCCCAGACAAGCCAGACTAGATTTTGCCGTTGAAGATGCAGAAAATGCACAGAAGGTAAGCATATATAAATACATGATATCGAATGTGTTTTGGATGGTGATGCCTGCCTTATGTCTTACATACAGCACAGATTTGATGGCCATTATAGAAGGTTTAAAGAACCATTGTTTCAGTTCTTCTCCTGAAGTCAAGAGATAGGCTGGATGCACCAACCCAAAGTTTGTAATGCTTAGAGTTGTCAAGGGTAGTTTAGCTAATGCTTTTCAGAAATTAGAAGTATTAGTTCCCTGTGACAGACTTTTGTAGTTACACATAGCAGATTTAATGTTAAAGTGCTGAGAAATATCAACTTCATCCAAGTGACCCACATACAGAGGTTTCCTCAAGAGTAGTTTCTGTCTACCATACAAGGCCAACGTGACTGACCTTCACCAGCCATTCTGAACCATTTACGGCCTTCTGCTTCTTTTATACTGAGCCCCAACCCTTACTTAATCCTCTTCTGTGTATTTCCAACACAGTACCAGCTAAACTGACCATAGCAATGTTTACAACGTCACCTTTGACTATGTTGGCTCAGGTGTGCAAATCTGCCTGTTGAAAAGATAGAGCAGTAAAATCTGGGCATTGTTTGAGCAATAGCAAATAGATAACAACAAACCAGTGTTTAGAAACTGACTATAAACCTAAAGTAGCAACTTCCTTGGGCATTGAACCTCTCTGGATTCCAGGTTAGTTTTCGGTTAGCATCAACAATGAGCCTGCCTAGTAGCAAAGAACTTGCCTTTGTACAATATTTCTATTAGGGGGGAAATGTATAGCAAAACATTATTGTTTTTAAAAGTAGCTATGCTATGACCTTATGACTATATTCAAAATTTTTGTTTGGGGAGTTACTTTTCTGCTTTCCTTAGTAAAATTTGGATGGTTCTGCCTAGAGAGAGTGTGTATAAAAGATACAATGATGCCCAGTTAGTACTTCATTTCTCTTTCTGGTCAATGACTTAGCAGGTACCTTCCCCAAAGGTCGATCAGTTCCTCCCTTAATTTGTCTCAGTTGGTGTTCTTGAGGGTTCTCATGGGGATGCAAAGAGACCCAAATGACTCAATAGATTGGGAGAGTGGTTAGAATATTTGAACTAGAATGAATAAGCAAGGGTTTAGCTCAGAGAAGAGACCAGAGATGAGAACAGAGTGGCTTTGTAGAGACATTGGGGGTGTCCCTTGTCCTCTTCCCGTTGTGGCATAAAGAGATTTCCTAAGGCTGGTGGAAACATGGAGTGTATAGTCACAGACACCCAAATCTGATTTCCTGCTCTGCCATTAACTAGCTGTGTGACCCCAAATAAACACTTTTAAGGTTTTTCAGCAAATATTTGTGTTCCAAAGACTAGAGATAGGCAACTATATTATAATCTCAGAATAGAGGAGGAAGAAATACATGCATAGATATTGGAAAGCTTCATGGGAAAGTAAGATTTGGGTGAAGCCTTACTGGGTAAGGAAAGTCAGCCTATACTAAAAGAGCTACCGAGAAGAACATTCCAGACAGAAGAAAGAAGTTTGGAGCCTCTGAGAATTCCAGAGTGGCCAGAAGCCAGGGAGGCAAAGCTATTCCTTCTGAAGATGCCTCTGGGGATATCTGGAGGGGATCATGGGATCACTGGTTCTTAGAAGACCTCTTACTTTATACACATTGGTCCAGATCTGCTTTGTACTGTATGATGCACACATCTCCCAATCACTTGTGGAGAAACTTGTTTTGAAAGAAAGAAAAAAAAAAGACAACGAACTTTTTAACATTATTACCCAACCTTAACTATTCTTGGTTGTGGTGTAAGAAACAAACTGACCAATGTCCTGATTGATGACAAAAGGAGGGGACAGTGTGGGGCAGAGAGGCGAGGGCTAAGGATGGAGCTGTTAAGAGGAGGGGATGGTGAAATTGCTAATGTGTGCACTGGGCTCGGAGAGGATGCATGCTAAGCCCCAGAGTGAGAGGAGGGAACCGCTAAAGGAGCAGAAGCATGCTGTCTCCAATTCAGCACTCTAGAGGCTGAGGCAGGAGAATCGGGAGGCTAGAGCAGCAGGCTCATACCACCGTGAACTTCCGAATGTGTTCTTTAAAGGCCATTGGCTAGCTAAGGAAGATGGTGGATTCAGCTTGGCATATACTTACGCCTGTGTGATACGCAGACAGACAGCAGGAGGCAGCTGAGTTTATCAGAATTATTGAAAGGTTATAGCCTTGGAACCAAGGGTGGAATTGTGAGCATACAGTTTGACTTTAAAGCTGTGTTTGAGATTGGGTGAATCAGTCCAGAGCCTGAAGAGAGCCGGATCTCAGGATATGGTCTCTTGTAGTTTGTAACAGAGTAGAAAAGGGAGCCAGGTATTGGTGGCACACACCTTCAATCCCAGCACTCTGGAGGAAGAGGCAAGTGGATCTCTGTGAGTTCAAGGCCAGCTTGGCCTACAGAGTGAGTTCAACCAGGGCTGTTACACAGAGAAACCCTGTCTCAAAAATAAAAAATAAAAAAAAGAGCAGAAAAGGGAACCAATGAAAATTGAGAAGGCGCAGGCAGAAGTATGGAGAGCTAAGAAAGAATGTATAGTGTCTCCCATGTTCATGTCTAGATTTTATAGAGCCAACAATCACTGCCAACCTTACTGTTTCAATGGGGGGAACAAGATGGCTTAGCACCATCTTGTTTTGAAAGAAAGAAAAAAAAAAAAAAAGACAACGAACTTTTTAACATTATTACCCAACCTTACTGTTCTTGGTTGTGGTGTAAGAAACAAACTGACCAATGTTCTGATTGATGACAAAAGGAGGGGACAGTGTGGGGCAACCGAGAGGTGACCTGAACGAACATCACTGATTGGAAAAGACTCATGGTTGGGGGACCTCTTGGAAGGTGACAGGAAGGAGGTCTCAGTGTGGATCGTTTTTTTCTAGAATGTGTGTTCTGGCAGGAAGGAGAGTTGATGGCCTGGGGGGGGGGGGGCACGCGCGCGCGCGCACACACACACACACACACACACACACACACACACACACACACACACTTCCTAACACGGCGTTTTTGCAGTGAGCCTTTGGCAGCAGGGCCGGGTTTCACCAGGCAGAGCGCTGCATATGGGAGAGAGAGAGGCGGCGACGTTCAGAGGGGGGCAGGTTTGAAGAAAAATGGTGAACATTTGCAAAGCATTTCCTAGGTGGCAGTGTTTTGCTTTATTGTCTGAGCTGATACTCACAGAGGCTTTGTGGCAGACTCATTCCCTCCTTTATGCCTGAGGGCTGTGAGACTATTTCATGACTTGCATTTCTTTGGAGTCCCTGACTGAAGTGATGTCCAAGATGTTGCAGGTTAGATTTCCTGGCAAGCAGCTCTCACATGAGTGTGGTGTGCAGATCTGTGAGTGTCCAGGATTGTAGGAGAGGAAGGGAGTGGGAAGGAACAGAATTGGACCGAGAGAGACTGAGCTGCATTTGAGGTGTTATAGAATTCTGAGATTACACTGTGAGGAATTCGAGGTAACCTCTTTGAATAGTCTTGAGCTGGTAAAGAGACCAAATCTTTGCATGCTGGTAGGAGTTTTACCAGTCACTGAGTTCAGTAGTGGCCTCCCAGGAAGGGGTGTGGTCCTGGGTTCATGCACCCTTCTTAGCCAAAGCGATCGAGCCAAGGGTGTGTACTGTTGGCATGGCTTCCAACAGCTGGGAGAATGACTCATTCATTCCTGAAGAGACCTGGGTGCATCTAGTGTCTACCATACAACTAGGCACATTACTAGAAAGTCTTCACAGTTAGTCTGAACCCTGTGTTTTGTGTATATGTGGAAACATAGAACCAAGTACAATGAATACCCAGGTCTGTAACTAGTCTAATCTCTTTTGTTCTGCCCTAACAGTGTTTGGAAGGCAGTACAGACAGTGGCACCAATGGTAAATAGATCATAGCTGGCTTTCTTGCCTACCTGGGACCTCACAACACAATTTGTGTGACATTTTAAGATTTTAAATGTAGAGATGTTGTCTTAAGGTTTCTGTTGCTGCCAACAAAACCATGACAAAGAAGCAAGTTGGGAAGGAAAGAGTTTATTTGGCTTACACTTCCATATTGCTGTTCATCATTGAAAGAAGTCAAGACAGGAACACAAACAGGGCAGGAACCTGGAGGCAGGAGCTGATGCAGAGGCCATGGAGGGGTTCTGCTTACTGGCTTGCTCAGCCCCCCTTCTTATAGAACCCAGGACCACCTGCCCACGGATGGCACCACCCACAGTGAGCTGGGCCCTCCTGTGTCAGCCACTAATTAAGAAAACGCCTTACGGCTAGATCTCGTTTTTTCTCTGTTGAGGTTCCCTCCATTCAGATGACTAGTTAGTGCATCGAGCTGACCTGAGACGAGCCAGCACATGTGGAATAAAGTCCTAACCTAACCACATTACCCAGCTTCAGTCCGACTCTCACATAAACTACATTTTTAAAAATGCGTCTGTGTATGAAGAAATTGTTCATTCTGAATCGCTCCCTCAACTAGGGAGAAACTTAAGAACCCATCCCTGTGCCGACACGTTCCCTGGAAACAGATGGGGGTGAAAGAGTAAATCTGTCCACTCATAAGCACAGGACACCCCTTGTGCCTCCTGGCAAGATATGGCGTTCATTCGACACCTGTGATGGGCAAGGCATCATACGAATATGATATGTGGGACTGGCCTCCACAGTTGCTGACTCATTACTGAGACAAAGACTCATCCAGGAAGCTGAAGAACGATGTAGTGTACTGTATTATATTAACGCTAAGTGCCAGGGCAAATGGGAGAGAGTTGGAAAGGGGAACAGATAACAGCTAAGTTATATTGGGTGTTCACTATGCACTCGTGAACTATCTGAACCCTTGAGGTTGGTATTATGGGCTTCCTTTTAGAGTTGAATAGATGAGAATGCAGTGAGGTGAGGGGGACTTGCCCACTGGGCTGAGATCCTCCATATATAACCACTCCCTCATGCTGCCTGTCTGGGTTCCGTTTCCCAGGGCATAGGGAAAAGGCAGTTTCCTTCTAATTGTGCACAGAACGAGTTCATTTGTAGATGACCCATTTCAGAAACTGCTCCCAGCCACCTTTCACATGCAGCTTTCTTAACCTCTACACCTGAGGTTATACAAACTGCAATAAACAATAAACAGTACATGTGCCAAAGGACTGGGGTTGATACAAGTCCAGGAAGCAGGGCGTGGCATGTATTAAACACTCAGTCATTTCCCTTGAGGGTTCACTTGTAGACACCACCAGAATGACTCGCCAGCAGGGACCTGCTACCAAAACTTGGGCAACTCCCAGGATTGTTGTTTGCTGCTGCCGCTGAGGCATGAGGCCTCATTACCTCCACCTCATCTTTCCTTCACATTCCGGCACAATCAAGTGTCACCGTAGCTAGCTGGCAGCTTCTGCTGACCCAGTGAACAAGCGTTGGGTGGCCTGTGAACACAAACACTAATTTCTCCCAGTTGTCTGCCTCTTGTACAGAACAGAACAGACCGGTTTTAACCACTGACCCACCAGAACTGGCGATTACAGTAGCTGTAGGGTGAGAGATACGCGTCGGTAAAAGTGTGAGATGTCGAACCCTTCCTCCTTTTTTCATTATGCAAGTCTCTGTTGACATGAAGAGAATTCCATGAGAGGAAGAGAAGAATCATTCTTGTTTCGAACACTAGACAACAATGTTGGAAAGACACTTGCTTCCCTTACTTAGTGGATCCAAATGCAGGCCCTGTGTGTTTTTCTTCTTGTGTTTCCTTTGGACCTTTACAGTTGTCCAAGGCGGTATACACAAAGTATGCGGTGGGAGCTGATGCTGCTTCACCAACTATTTCCAGATTGCAAAAGTTGACAAGCAAGACCTTGGCACTGAGCACTTAAAAACTAGCAATTTGATGCCGCCTTTCGGGTGTCTAAGCTTATGACTCGCTGAAGGTCTCCCTTGTTGCAGAGGCTGTCAGTTGATTTAAGAGACATACTCAAATGGTAAATCTTGTGTGGTGGGAATTCGGTGCTAGTTCTATGAGGGAAAGGGGGCTTAGCAGAATGCAGGACTCAGGAAATATAAAAACGAAATGGGCAAGCAAAAAACTGGCTGTTCACTGAATGGTTGGGAAAAGTAGAAACACTGGTCCTGCACCGGGAATGGTTGGAGAAACACTACTCAAAAAACATCAGACAGCTCTCAGGTTAGCTTATTACACTGGTATTTTGCTGACTTCTGTCTGTCTCTTTAACTTGTCCTATTACTGGTGTCTTTTGAACACTGAACTACAAAGGCATAGTTGTTCTTTATATGCAAACTTTTAAGTATGGCCTGAAAACATGAAAATTATGGCCCTGAGGAGCAAAACTGAACTTCTTCTTTTCCAACTATTATGGGCATCTGTTGATGAAAGATAAATTTGTGACTTCTCTTACCGACACTCCATGAAAGTTATGTGTAAAGGGAGTACTAGATATAATGGGGATCTCCTTGGAGCCCCTGTTCGATGCCCACAGAGCTCTCTGGTTTCCATTTATCTTGTCCAGATTCTTTCCAACCTTGGATATCTTTTTGGTACAGCAAGTCTCAGTGGAACAGACTGCACTTCTTGCCCTTTCTTAACCTCACTAAAAGTTCACTTCTCTCTAAACAGGAAAATATATTTGTCGATCGATCAAGGATGACCCCAAAGACTCCGATGAAAAATGAACCAATTGATCTGTCAAAGCAAAGGATCTTTACCCCAGAAAGAAATCCCATTACTCCAGTAAAGCTGGTGGACAGGCAGCCACAGGTAGAACCATGGACACCCACAGCCAACCTCAAGATGCTGATCAGTGCTGCCAGCCCAGACATAAGAGACCGGGAGAAGAAGAAGGAGCTGTTCAGACCCATTGAGAATAAAGAGGATGTGTTCGTGAACTCCCTGCAGGTAACTAGCTGTGCTTGTATTCATAGGGTTTCGTGAGACTTCAAACATTTACAAGATTACTAAAAAGAAGGACACCTGTCCAGTCAAACACGGTGTTAATTAGACACAGCATCATTTTGTTCACAGCTGAATTCTCACTTGGATTCTGATTTTTCATAATTAATTTCTTTCTTCCCTTCACTAGATTGCATTTTAAAAGTAACATTAGTAATTTGATTCAACAAAGACACTTGGATTTTTTTTTTTTTTTAGCACTGCTATGAAATTTTAGTTTCAATAATTTTGACTAGGAAAGTTCTATTATTCTATTTGCTAGTTTGGAGCTTTATTCAAGTTAGGCCAGTTTAATGTATTTCTTTAATCTGCTTGGGGTTTTTGTTGGAACTCTGTGTGTGTGTGTGTGTGTGTGTGTGTGTGTGTGTTTGTGTGTGTGTGTGTTTCTGCTGTCACAGCCACTGTTCTGTTGCTCCTAAGAGACACCATGACCAAGGCAACTCTTAATGGAGGCTGGCTTAGATTTTCAGAGAATTGGTCCATTATCGTCATCATGGGGAACAAGGCAGCATACATAACATAACTCTGAAGAAGTAACTGAGAGCTGCTGATCTGCTGGCCAGGAAGGAGACACTGGGCCTTGGTGTGGCTTTTGAACCCTCAGAGCCCACCACCACCAAAGCCACACCTAACCCTTTTCATGCATGGCCACTCCCTAATGACTAAGCATTCAGATACATGAATCTATGGGGGCGGTTCTTAATTGGAACCACCACAGCTGCTAATGATTCAACCCGGGGCTTTATACATGGTAGGCAAGCTCTCAGGCCATCTTTGAATTGCCTGTGACATGAAGAAGTGGCCATGCTTGGCAAATGGCACATCCGTACTGTTTTTAAAAAGACTCAACAGTAATTTTCACTCCCACTAACCTTTCTCTGAGACCTCCCAAGAAAAATGACTTCCAGATTAGAGTCTTTCCAACTATCCAACTATTTTTCCCCTCCTTTGGTGGTTTTAGTTGTTGTAAAATTTGCCAAAATATAGAAACTTGGAAAGAAAGAGAAGACGTCTCAAATTACAATTTGAAGCTAACTTAGCAAAATGAGTTTAATCTACCACACACACCAGTATGGTGGTGGAGATTCTTCAGTGTAGCTAGAAGCAGATCCTACAGTTTGGAGAGTTAACTCCTTTGCTCTTAATCCAGAAATTGTTCATCGTTCCTCTTGTATGTCCTCTCTTTTCCTGAGCTTCCTTTCTGTGTTTGGTTGGAAGAGCACAGGAAGCCCAGCTTCAGAGACTGAACTCAGATCACAAGTGAGTGTGGCTAAGGGCATTAGCTTCCGTGTCCAGGAGGCAGGGGGTCATGGTGTTCCTTGCTCTGGTTTTCCTGGGATCTGTTCTTTGTCTGTTACAACCATACCCAAGGAGTCATTGTCCCCTCCCTCCCTTTTTAATTTATTGATAAAGCACAGAAAGTGACAGTCTCCCAGTGGAGGATGTTAATAATCTCTAACAAAGTATTCATGCCTTCCTTTGGTTGAACTTTTTTCACATGTCCCTAAAACAATTCCATTTCTGGCTTCACAGATTTTAATTGTGCGCTCACTATAAAGGTTCATGACCTTGAGTGCCTAAAATGTGAGTGGCTCATAAATGCAGGCTTTGTAATATCGTCGATAGACTATTTTTATCACATAATGTACCTTCAGTATATAATACCTCTAAGACTCAGGAGGCTTCTTCCTTTCTGCCCCAAGCACAGAACAGTTTTAATAATTTACATCGAATAATGACTGCTGATTTATCATTCTCTTGCCATCTTTAAGTCACTGTGTTGTATATTTGCATGTATGTGCTTGGGCTGTGGGGATTTCAAGCTTTGTAAAGTTGAGGCTATTATAGTATTCGTCTTTTCACATTACTGGGTGGCTTGTGACTTTCTGTGACTCATGAGATTATACTTCTCGACATGGGAGTCTGCCACCATGGTTTTTCCTTTACTCTTGGATGTACAGGACACCATTGCTATTTTAGACTTGTAACCATGGATCTCAGCCTCGTGGTAGAAATGAGAAACAGCTTATAGTCCAGAGAAGATAATAAGAAAGCCAGACTAGAAGTTGTTTTTGCGCAGTCTTGAATGGTGTAGATTGGGACCACTTTGCAACAGTTTTCTAACAGCAGCAATTAAGGCGGTAACGATGGCATCTCTCCCCCCCACCCACTTCTGTCTTTTTTATTAGCTTGATGTCGTTGGCGACGGTGCTGTGGATGACTATGAGAAGCAAAGGCCGAGCAGGAAACAGAAAAGTTTAGGACTGCTGTGCCAGAAATTCCTCGCTCGCTACCCAAGTTACCCCTTGTCCACTGAGAAAACCACCATCTCTCTAGATGAAGTCGCTGTCAGTCTTGGTATGTGTCACCCTATTAACTGGAGTCCTATCGTCTGTGACAGTGGGAAGCAGGTTACCTTGGGTAGGCCAGAGGCTTCCAGTAGCCTCATATTAACAGGGTGAGGATCGGAGTGGGCGGAGCCGCCACCATCACCACCAAATCTCCCTCTGGTATTCATAGAATTCAAGGAAACCTAATTCAAAATAAAGGTCCAAATGGGAATGGGGGGGGGTCAGTCTTAAAAATGTTGGGGGTGGGACTATAGCGCAGTGGTAGAAAATTTGCTGATCATGTACAAAATGGGTTTAACCACAAATATTACGGATTAATCTCATTTTAAATTTGTATTCAGAATCTAAAAATGTAAGCTGGGTCTATAATCCCAGTCCTTGTGAGACAAATAGGAGGACTGTAAATTGAGGCCAGCCTAGGGTACACAGGGAGATCCTGTCTCGTGAAGGAAATTACAGATGTCTGGCTCTTTAATTTTAATAATGCTTCCAATAGTTTGGAAACTAGTATCATTTCCTACACAAAGCAAAAAAATGGAGAGCAAGAACACAACTCTTGAAGCCCTGTGCCAGCGTCTTCACAGCAAGTGTTTCAGGACAGAAAACGCACGGCTGGACAGCTAGGCTTCCTAACAAAGGAGAATGCATATGTTCACGTGGCAGGGGCATGTATAACCTGTGACGCCTGCACAGCTGCAAATATGTACACAGTCACTTTGGATGAGAGACCCCTGGTGGACAGGGGCTGTATTTGAGGATGGTTGAACTGTTGATAATAGAAATCATGCTCATCTGGAGGTGTATTATAGGGGTATCCACTTAATAAACAAAAGCTTTCCACATGGGGGAGTATCTGAAGGGATACGATAAATGAACTGTTAATAGTTTTGTATTTCATAGCTGTCTGTCTTCCATAGCCCAAAGAAACATCCCAGAGCAGTAGGCTGTCAGTCTGAGTCACCCAGGCTGAGAGCGGAGAAGGTTCTGGCTGTTGGAAACTAAGACGGTGGAGGTGATAGTCTGTGATGGAGAGACCATGGGCTATGCTTTGGGTCAGACAAGGCTGTCAATGACTCCCGGCTTATAAGGACTTTGAGATGTTATTAACCCTTTCTTGTCTGTAACATAAACTTCCTAGACATCACAGAGTTGAACTGATGTGACTAATGTGTTTAACTAAGTCCTTGTCGGGGTTCCTGAAAAACAGTCCTGCAGAAAACGGGGGTTAAGTTCCACATCATCCGGTGTCCTCATGATCATGAAGTCTTCCCCAGACCCCACACTCCTGCAATGTATTCGGCTTCCGTGTGGAGATGTTAAAGTGGGACACAAAGATGCCATGTTTAGGGGGAGCTTACAGTCCCTAGGGAGGATAAAAGAGGGGACTTTTACTCATAGGACCTGTAAGCATGCCGTGTTTCCTGGGGCTGAACTTCAGAGATTTTCACAACAGCCTCCCAGTGCCCCGTGATGACACAGATCTAAGTAAAATGAGCTGCCACCTCTTCTCAGGAGAGGTTGAAAGCTAGTGTCCCTCCCTAGGAGCTGTTTTCCTGCATGACCATCTCCTGGCCTTGAGTCTGAACCCCTTGTTAAAAGGCCACCATTTACCCAGAGATGTGGGGAATTTCAAGCTGTTGTTTCCAGGGTCTGCTTCGATGTAGCTCTGACTCTGGTGTTAATAAGTAAGCATTTAAACACTTGGGAGTAACTTTGGTGAACAGAAAACAGAACAGTGCTTGATTCTGGGCTGAGTAATGGTCTTAGTCAGTTCCTGGGGAAGTAGACGAGAAAAATGGTGGTCGTCATTAAGTTCCTACTGGATGACCAACCGTCACAGAACGTAGAATAGACCATCACCTCATTTGGTCATTACGTCCTTGGATGTACAACTGGGGCCATCAGTAGATTGAGCCAGACTACCTCAGCATAAAGGCAACAGAAGATAAGAGTACCTGGGAAAACCTCCCTCCTGGCAAGCCAGAGAGGAACCCACAGGCTTTGAGAACCATGAGTGGAACTTTAGGAGCACAGCCCCCTCTCCTGCCCCCTGAACAGTGACACTTGGGCATGGTTGCAATGATGAGTGACTAAGCTGGCAAGGGCCGGCCACAATTGGCATTCACCAAAACAACCTACCAAGTGCCCGTTTGCACATTCTTACTCTCAAAGGAGCTCCAGTCATCTTCCGTTTCCCCTTCTTGTGATGCCTGGCCAGGAGGTGAAGACCAAAGCACTTACTATCAAGCACAAATAGCACAACAGGCAGCACAATATGGCTGTCCCCAGGGTGTCCTGGTTTCGTTCACATGACATTTCTAATGGGAAGGTTCTGGGATGGTGCAGGCTAATAGGATGTGTTAATATGTGGGAACAGGCTGGAGTAAAGAACCAGACAGCTCTAGGCAAGAGGCTGCTGCCAATGCCTTCCAGCAAGCAGCTGGCACCAAGCCTGAGGTGCGGGACAGGCCGGTCAGGATCGTGGGTGCAAATGTTCTGACTGACCCTGAAATAATGCCTCTTCGTGTGCGTGATGAAGCTCTTCCTCAGCCCAGAGTTGTCTTTATCTGGCGTCTTTCTTCTATCTCTGCAGAGCCAGCCCAAAGTTACCCTCTCACTGAGTCTGTTTCTGTAAAAGGGGACAAATGGCGCATCTTTATGGCCAGTCTGGGTTTTCTGCAAAGTGCCTGAAGGCTTCAGCATAGACAGTCAGATGGGAGCAGAGGCAGCAGCAGGCCTGGGGCCTGCTACACAGCAGAGTGAGTCATGGACCAGGGCTGTTTAAAATCTGCCTCTGCTGTGACTGTGTGTCAGTGGGCATTTTAGGTAGCTCCATACTGTGGCGGTATCTTGTTTGTATAATAAAGCTACAGAACAGGAGTTCCAGGACAGGCTCCAAAGCTGCACAGAGAAACCCTGTCTTGAAAAGTCCCCCCCCCCCCAAAACAAAAAGATTCTTACAGACCTCTATGGTTAGCTAGCCCCTCAGATCTTCAGGCAAGCTTTATTTGTTATACAAATAAGATACCACCATACCAAACCATGCAAATTTGAATAAAATAAACAACTGTTAAGGACCCTTTACTTTTATGCTCAAACTTAAAATATTTTTTAAGACAAGCACTACACTATGAAGAGGTTAAGTAACTTCCTAGGATAGTATAAGTAAGTAACTTACTTATAAGGGGTATATAGAGGATGTGTGTTCAGGCAGTCTGATTCTAGAACCTTCCATGCTTAACCAGCATACATACTTTCGGTGACTAGAAGAAAAATCCTGCTTGTGATAGTACAGGGAGTACAGGCGGTGAGTTTCATTTCCATGGTAGACCTGAACTACGCCTTTCCTTCGCTGTGGGCCTTCTTATTAGCAAATGGTGAATGAGAGCACAAGGACAGTTACTACAAGCCACGGCAAATAGAGGACTTGTGTTTCTCCATCAACTCGAGAAGGGAGCCTAAGTCCTTGAATCTGTCATTGCCCAATCAAAACAGGAGGCAGTATTTACCACCCGTTTTCCTTACCATACTGTTCAGAGAGTTAGTATATTCATTTTCAGTTACATCATTCATACCCTCCAGAAAGGACAGACTAGTCAAGTGATGAGGTGACAGTCCATTCTATTCAAACCTCTAAGAAAGGACAGGACTGCCCAGTGAGAGGTGACAGTCCATTCTATAGTTCTGTGGTGGTTAATCTTTGCCGTCAATGTGGTAACAGGATTTAGGCTCATCAGAAGCACACACCTCTGGGTGAGTCTATGAGGGTGTCTCCAGAAAGAGCTAAGTGAGTAGGGAAGGCCCGCCTAGAATGTGGCGGCACAGTCTCATGGGGTAAGGTCCCCAAATGACTAAAATGAGAAGGCAGGACAAGCTGAACTCCAGCTTTGCCTCTTTTTGCTTCCCAACTGTAACTTATACACCATGATGGGAATGTCTCCCCGAACTATGAGTCAGAATAAGCCCTTCCTTATGTTGCCTTTGTCATTTTTTGTCACAGCAATAAGACAAGGGAGTAATGCAAGTCCACTGATTAGGAATGCAGGTCACTAGCAGCCAGCCACTGTGTCCAGCAGGCATGCTGTTGTCACACTGGTATGCCACCATAATGTATATGTGGTTGGCTTACCATGTCTGAGGCACAGTACTATGCAGTCGGGGCCACACAGATGGTAGTCTGGCCATCGCAAGATGTTACCCTCGTGTTTGAAGGTTGGGTCCCAAAAAAAAGGGCCTGTTTGAATCTTCCCCAGATGGCCTTAGTCATTATCCACAGTTGACGGCCATCAACCTGAACATCAAATAATTCCCTTCCGGAGTGGATCCACAGAAGTGTCCACTTGTGTGATGTCTTTGTGCCTTCTCCTTTGCAAACAGGTGTGGAAAGGCGACGCATCTATGACATCGTCAATGTGCTGGAGTCCCTGCACCTGGTCAGCAGGGTGGCTAAGAATCAGTATGGTTGGCATGGTCGGCACAGCCTGCCCAAAACCCTGAGGACACTACAGAGACTGGGAGAGGAGCAGAAATATGAAGAACAGATGGCCTGCCTCCAACAGAAGGAGCTGGACTTGGTGGAATATAGGTTCGGAGAACACAGGAAAGATGGCTCCCCGGATTGCCAAGATCAACACCTACTTGATTTTGCTGAATCCGACTACCCCTCCTGTGAGTCCAGTGCACACTTGTGAATAAGGGCAAAGGGAGTAGCGGTCTCTTAAACTGACCACAAAGGTGTGAAGTGCGAGTTTGAAGGCCCAGGGAGGAGATCCACTCCTGTTCTGCCCGCTCCACGTCACTCATGCCAGCCCTCCTCCCAGTCAGAATATGTGAGCCATGGAGACTGGTAGTCACATACCGTTTGTTTGCCTTTGAGACCTCACACTGAAGACACTTCCTTCTCAAAGCATTCAATTTCTGCTAAGAAAAACCGGCCCAGGGACTGAGTCTATTAAGAAACACTGACGACCGCTGCTTCCCTTTGGTGCCATTTAAGTCTGTTGTTTTTTTTTTTTTTAATTTTGTGTCTTCATTGTTCCTCCTTTGCCCCAACTTCTGTAGCTCGGCGTCTCACTGTAAATAGTGATGCCCATCTGTCCCGTGGGGGTGTGGTGTGGTGTGGTGTGCCCCCGCCGCGCCCTCCACCTCCCCCATTGTGAGGATAGCACATCCAGCCATCACTGACATGCTACCTTGCACTATTGGATGCTGAAGTAAGGGTAGAATAATTTTCTTTAGCTGCACAGCTTTGTGCCTTTTAGCTCCACCCCCATGAGGAAGTACTTACCTGTCTAACCAGAGGAGATAGTCATCTACTGGGATTCTCGAGCCCACGGATAATCAGTGTCCTGTTTTGTTTTGTTTTGTTTTTAAAGGCAGGCCCTGCTGTGTACTCTGTGAGGGTACCTACTAGACATTGTGATAACAGGAAGAGTGGGGTTCTTGGGCTGGGAGATGGGCACTGGGGAGATAACAGGATCCCTGGGACTCACTGGGCCAGTCAACCTCACTGAGTGAGTGAGCTCCACGTTGGAGAATTAATGATGATGCGACCTCCGAGCCCCCACACACACACTCGAACACCCATTCAACACATGCATGTACACGCAGACACATGAACAGGTACACACACAACATGTAACTGGAGTTCTCGCTTTCGAGAGGTGTTCCAAAAACAACTCCTGACCCTCACCCCTCTCCTTTTATCTGTCTCCTTTAATCTCTTGGAAGAGTTGCTTAAGGAAAACTGCCATGTGGCTTCTATTAATGTGCCCTAAGTATGAAGTGTTAAGAGCAGTTGCAAATCAGTCATTTCTGGAGATGCGGGGGAATCCCTCCGATTTCTTTAAGGGCTTGTTTTTGTGATGGACTTCCTCCGGGCTTCTGCCTATTACAGGATGTACCTCCATATGCTGGTACAGCCAGGTAGCTCTGGGAAGCTGCAAGTGAAGCCTGCCTTGTGGTAGAACCCACGTTTTGATGCTTTTTATTTTCTTCCCCCTTTCAGCCTCTGCAAATAGCCGGAAAGATAAATCTCTAAGAATTATGAGCCAGAAGTTTGTCATGCTGTTCCTTGTCTCCAAAACCAAGATTGTTACCCTGGACGTGGCTGCCAAAATCCTCATAGAAGAAAGCCAAGATACCCCAGACCACAGTAAATTCAAAAGTAAGAGCCTTCACCTAATCCATGTAACAGCACAAAGCGGGCAGGACCGCTGACCCAGCTCCCTGTGTCTGAACCGAGTATACCCAGAGAGAGGTTGTATTGATGGTGGTGGTTTTGGAGAAATATATTCCTTGTGCTCATAAAAGCCCTGATGCTATAAGTGGTCAGTCAGCTCACAGACCACCACCCCCCTCCCCACCATCCAAGTCAGGAGACTTTTCCCCTGAGGGTACAGTGGGCAGGGCGAGGCAGAACCTCAGGGCCCAGGCCCAGGAGGGTGTGGTCCATTTGTGTTTCTCTTTGGTGATACTTCCAAGACAGAATGCCTGAGCCTTCTTTCCCCTTTTCTCCCCATCCCCCGCCTACTTCCCTGAAGGGTGGAGATGAAAGTTTCCTACAGGTAAGCACCCGAGGAATGGCCAGGGTTCGGGGAGGGGGACAGGCTCGGAGGAGTCTCTGTGTGTCACACACACCCTTGCACCTTCCTTTCTCTTTGCGCTCAGCTGCAGGGTCCATGCCCTCTGCCCTTGTGAGGGGCCATGAGCTCATCATTCTCAGTTGCATTTTGGTTTTGGCCTGGATAATAGCCACCATGGGGGTACAGTGGTTAAGACCCTGGCTGTGGCCCTGGCATCAAGTGGACAGCTGATCCCTTCTTCAGTTCTTGAATAGAAAAGCAGGCAGGCCATCCTGTCCAGTTCTGTAACACCACACCTGAGTTACCCCCTTTTCAAACATGCATTTTCCAAAGTGCTTTTTGATGCAGGCCACACCCTCATGCCCCTCCGCCTTAGCCAGGGTTTCAGGTGAGCAGCTGCTCTTATTCAAAACTGTACCTCATGACCTTGAATCTTCAGCATCCTGTGTACTAGGAGTGTAGCTTCACTGGGACTCTAGGGAAGTCCTGTCATTGTCACAGGCCAGCTGCCTGTGAGGCACTTGCCACCATCTCTCACTGGGGGACCTGCAGGGCAATCTTTTGTTGGCCACATGCCAGAGTTATATTCCCTAAGCCTTTAATCACAGCCTGTTCCCCCCCTCCCCAATTTTTGCCATTGTGGAACCCCTTGCCTGTCAGCAGAGGGCTCTTCCACATGATGCGGAGTTGTGAGAAGGGAAGGACACATTGTCCTCCCCTGGTATTTGTGTGTCTGCAGATGCTTCGAGTGCATAGCTCTCCAGTGATAGCATGACAGAACCATCAGTCTCATGCCATCCGCCCCCTGGAGGTTTATGTGGTACCTGAGGAAACGTTCCCTGTCACATAAACTAAAACACAGTGGCATTACACACAGCATGACCATAGTTGTGTCTTATATCTTCAAGCAAAGGTACGACGGCTCTATGACATAGCCAATGTCCTGACCAGCCTGGCTCTGATAAAGAAGGTGCACCTCACAGAAGAGCGTGGTCGTAAACCAGCCTTCAAGTGGATCGGGCCCGTGGACTTCAGCTCCACTGGTAAGGAGATACGATTTTGCTGGGGACCTGATGTAGAATGCCTTAGTTATACATCCAGCCAGAGAAATGGACCTTTTCCCATTCTCTGGGCCACATTGAACATTTGAATTAATGATGTCACTCTTGGAATGATAGTTACTATCCAGAAAACATAGGTGCTGGTCGTCTCGTACACATCAGGAAGGAAAACACTAGAAGACCATTGGTTTTCGGGACTGTTAAAATATACTTGTGTGTTTTTTTTTTTTTTTTTTTTTTTTTTCTGGAACTTTTTTCCAGAAAGTTTAGGACTAAAAATTTAAGGTGACACTTCTGAACTTGGGTTATTTCTACATCAGCAAAATCAGCCATTGTTTTTCAGGGAAACCCACATAACGTTTAAAAACTGCAATCAGTTAGTTATTCACAAAGCTAGCATGACATAAGGTAGCTCCAAATCTAGTAGGGACATATTGAATGCCTTTTATGTAATTTAATTAAAAGATTAAACATACCAGGAATTTTAAATTAGTCTCTCAGTGTTGACGTAGTGGCATGTAACTAGGACTTATAAAAGATACAGCCGTCTGCCTCCCTGGATAAAAACCTCTTAAAATCAAGTATAACTGCTTCAACCCAACAGGCCGTTTACTATACTTGCCATGGGAGATTGAAGCTGTGTAGGGGGCAGCCCTGCCTACGTGGGTTTTTGGGGTTTTTGTTTTGTTTTGTTTTGTCTTTTGGTTTCTCTGTCACCTGTGACACCTTCTCCTTGTCAGCATTAAAAATGCCATCCCTTGCTTAGGGATGGGCATGCATTCTGAGATATGTCCCATTATGACAGTTGACCATTATGTGACTGACAGGGAAGGTCACCAGACAACAGAATTGTATGGGAGTAGTACATAATCTCTGTACCTGACCCTGGCGGTCTTCTGTGGTAGATGATTGCCTTTTCCCTGGTCACTTAGAATAAATGGTGTCTCCGCTGGGCAGCTACAGTTTGGAAAATAGTTTGGAAGTTAGAAAGCAATCGAGTTCTAGATGGTCCATGTTGGGGAGATTAGCCATGTTGGTTTAAGTGGAGAGTGTGGGGTCGAAAATGAGGTAAAATATAGTGAGCTGGGAATACGCTTTTTGGCAGGCTCTTAAGTGCAACCAAGAAATTCATGATGGCTGTAACAGAGGCAACAAGGAGGCCTCTAAACAGATTACAGGAGAAGAGTGACTCCTTTATTGTGGTGATGCCACTGAGCAGTCCCATCAGTAGAGTCATGGGCTCATGTGAGAAGCCAACCAGTTCAGATTTGTGCACAGCCTGTGAGACCACGGCCTCTAGAACTCTGTTCCTGTGTAGGAAGGATGACGTGCAAGCACATCAGAAATTGCAAATTGAACCTTTTAGCAACCTATATTAATTCTTCTGTATTCTCCAGCTCTTACTAGCTCTATGGTCAATATAGTAGCCACATTTAGAAACCCCTTGATTTCCTCTTCGCCCCTTAAGGTTCTCAAATTTCAGCTTCATAACTGTCTCCCTCTTCTTTTCACACAAGCACAGCACCTTATTGTATGTGGGCGTTTCCTTTTTAATTCTTGCTGGAGTGCCGCTGGGATGCAGTAAATAATCCAGTTGCAATTTGATCAGTTTTGTTTACAGAACTTGGGTTAAGTAATGACCGTAATGAGGATAACTTCCTCAAAGTGCTTGACCTATTTACAGAGCCCTACCCTCACCGCCCACAAAGAGTGGCACATTCATTCCTCCATGACTTTAAAAGCAGCCACCCAACTTTTCCTAAGTTGGTCCAGTCCACTGAGACTTCTGGAAAATAGTTCTGTGGCCCTCTTCTGGCCCCAAATAGTAACTGAAGAAACTCTGTCCTAAGTTTCCTCCCGAAGAAGCTCTAAGAAGCAGACAGGACCTCACCCACCCATGTTCAGGCCAGGGAACAAGACAGCTGGCTCTGAGTAGAATGGCTTCCAGAGGGCTCGTGAGTTCTACCCATGCAGCCCTGAGACTTTTCACAAGGGCACTGGTGAGTTCTACTCTGTACAGCCAGTGGGCACACTGCTTGTGAGCATGCTTTCCTACACTCATCTGAACTTACGGGGACTGCATTACCTCTACAATGGAACAGATGAGCAGCCTACATCCAGAGATTCACTGCAGAATGGCCACCGAATGTGTTTCCAGGCTGGCAGTGTGTTGTCACGTGCTCTGCAGCATTAGCCTGAGACATTGCAATTGCGGATTACAACCGAAGGAGTGGCGTGACCACTGCACTAACACATCTACCTGGTGCCTAAGCCAAACAGCCTGTCCATACACCGCCACTGGAGGAATTGCCAGGAGAGTCTGTCGAAGCCAGCCTGTGAAACTGATCGTCAGTGGTTCTGCCGGCTGGACAGGCATCCAAGTCAACATACAGGAACCATTTTTAAAAATGTAATGCAACCAAAACATACTTACTCCTGCAGTGGACTCCAAAAGAATTTACTTGACAGAAAAGTATAATTCAAAGAAATTTAATGAGTTATGAAAGTTTATAGATGATTCAATGGAATTAGTAAAATAGATTATAGAAGAAATTTACCAAGGGGGTGGAGATCAAGTGAAAACCGAAGAGAAACCTTGGAACCAAATAATACACACACACACACACACACACACACACACACACACACACACACAGGTGAAGAGCTCAGCAGCAGCACAGATTACACAGAAAGAATTAAAGAATTCTGAGCAGGTCAATCTCTGTGAGTTCAAGGCCAGCCTGAGCTACAGAGTGAGTGCCAGGACAGGCCCCAAAGCTACACAAGGAAACCTTGTCTCAAAAACAAAAAAAAAAAAGAATTCTGAACTTGACATTGTGACATTGTTTGAACAGGACAGGTTAAAAGGAAGAAAAACTTAACACCTTTGAGACTTACTAAACCATAAGTAAGTAAGCATTCATATGTGTTCTGGAAGGGAAGGACAGGAAAGAGCCTGAGAAACCAACAGTGATGTAGAAACTGCTGTAAAAGCCCTCAAAATCCAACTCAAGAAGCAGCCAGGCACACGCACAGTCTAAGAGACAGGGCACCAGAAACGCCTGAGGCATGTCATTATCGAACTCAGAAGCACAAGACAGAAGTGTCAAGTGGCATTCCTATTGCTCCAGCAGACCCCTCAACCAGAGCCTTGCACCAGGAGTGGATGAGGTGATATATTCAGGATCCCAAAAGGGAAAGTGGACAGATGGCTCAGTGAGTGGGTGAGAGTGCTGAGTGCACAACTGTGAGAACCAGTTAGGATGCCTCCTTAACTAGCCCCGCAAACACCTTAAATTCTAGCTCACAAGTGTGCTCCCCTACACAGATGTGAACAACTAATCACTTGGAGTTTTTTAATCCTAAAAGGGGAAAAACTGTTAATTATACACTTTAAAAAAAAATAAGTCATGCCAGGCGGTGGTGGCGTGAACTTTAGTTTTTATTCCTGACATTCTGAATTTATCCCTTTACTTGTTGGTGCTAAGCATGGCACGGTGTGCTGGGTCCTGGTAGGTGCTGCACACATAGTGGTAACTATAAGGGCATGGCACTGACCATCTCAGTGGACTGGAAAACAGAGACCAGGAAATAGGCATTCCCTGAAGAGGGGACTCAGGAATCAAACCCCAGCCTCTAGGGTTTTGAAAAGGACTACACCCATTCTAGACCTTGGATTCTAGAAAGCTTCTTATAGGAAATCTAGAATAAAAAAGAGACATTTATTATATTGTACTTATTATATTGGCTTGTAACAATATTATAATATATTTGCATATTGGAGGAGGAAAACTAGTGCTGAGTTGGAAAGCATCTCTGGTTTGTGGGGAGTTCATCGTGGAGGGTGTCGAAGTTACTGAATCTCTTAAAGATGATCCCAGCACTCAGGAGGCGGAGGCAGGTAGATCTCTGAATTCAAGGTCAGCCTGGTCTACAGAGCGAGTTCCGGGATAACCAGGGCTACACAAAGAAATCCTATCTCAAAAACCAAAGGATAAGAATGAGAAGTCTATTTCTAGGAAAGCAACCCTTGAGAAATGAGGCAGAAGTTTTTTCTAAGACAAGCAAAAACTGATTTAAATTCATCCCCACCAGACTAATGAGATGACTGAACAGGTAATGGCACCTGCTGCCAAGCCTGACAGTTTGTGTTCAAGCCCCCCAACCCCAAGCTGTTCTCAGACCTCCAGTGCATTCTGTGCAAGATCATATGCACACGTGCATGTGCATACACACACCAGGAATTTTAATTGTGTTTATATATGCATCAGCACCGAAGCACCCAAGTATACAAAGCCAGCATTACTAGATATCAAAGCCGAGATGGGCTGAAATGCTGTCACAGTGGTGGCTGGCTTTAAGCCTACACTTGAGGGGTAGAGGCAGCTGATCTCTGTGAGTTCTAGGCCAGCCTGTCTACATAACTGTATTCCAGGATAGCAGTCAGGACAATAGACACCAAAAACAAAATGGAGGGGGGAATTTTTTTATCTACGGAAGACCCCCCCACAAAGAGCTAGAGCAAGTCTGAGCCAGAAACAGTAAACCAGAAGCATCCTAATACTTGACTGCAGAACACTCTATAGAGTAGAGCATCCAAACTAAATGATGCTGACAAAGAGGTGTACCAAGAAGTAACTCCTCTTTACAGCCAACTGATTTGTGACAAGAGCGCTCACTAAAGAAAGTCTCTTCCATAAATGCTGCCAAGAAAACGGTAATATTTTCATAAGAAACTGGCGCCCCCTCACTAAAAAAAAAAAAAAAAAAAAAATTAAATTAAAAAAACAAGTATGTGATTGCTTAAAATGGACAAGATTTTTAAAAATATAATCTCAAAACTGGACAAATACCATTGGAAAATAAGATATCAAACTAAAAGGCCTCTATACAGCCAAGGAAACAACCAACAGTAAAGAAACACCCCACAGAATGGGGGGAGATGCTTATAAACTATCTGACAAGAAAATGATTTTCAAAGTATAAAATGGATTGGAACAACTCCACAGGAAGGTGGGATGGGTAAATACAGTTACACAAACTGAAATGGACATTTCTCAAGTCCACTTGAGTCCAAGTGCACACCAAGCATGAGAAAATGCTCAATGTTATTGGTCACATGGGAAATGGAAATCGAAAGAAATCCACAGGGAAATGTCTCACTATGTCTACCAAAAAGACTAAACACGCACACCTTGGATACAGACAAAGGGGGAGCCATATATCCTTGCTAGGACTGTGAAGTAATAACTACTTTGCAATGTTTGCAGTAGTGGGGAACAATATGAGGTTCCTCTGAAATGAGAGCTGAAGCTACTGTGTGACCCGGCTGTTCACTAATAGCCAAGGGAGCTAGCATCAGTGTGTGGAGGGAGTGTCTGCACTCGCATGGCTGTCACAGCACTATTCACCATGGCCAAGATGCGGGATCAACCTGAGTGTCTATCGGATGAACAGAGAAAATGTAGCCTATGTGAACAGAGGGCTGGACCATTTCCCACTGCCACCGCAACATCATTTTTAGTGTTCTCGGCGATGCCCCTGTAGTGATGCTCACGTCTTGTCCCGGCCCTGTATGAGCTGCAGGAGGTTCTTCTCCCCAGCCCAACACCACCACTCCTACCCCACCCTCACCCCCATGCTTCTTTTCCCTTGCAGGCATAGCGTTCCGACTCCTCATTCTGCAGAGCGCTCTGGGGAGCTCCTTGCAGACCCCAGCTTTGTTTAGTTGTCCCTCCCCAGTGTTCTGCCTCTTGAACTCCAGCTGCCACCATGCTGTAGTCTTCCCAGCTGTGCCCTCGGCTTGGGGAGACTATCGAGTTCCTGCACCCCAACCTAGAAACATCCTCCTGGCAGTAGTTTAGGACAGTCTGAGCTTGCTTAATTTCATTTCTGCCTAGCATCCTAAGAGCCATGGATGTATACATTTCTGCTCTCTCTCTCTCGGTTTTATTTGATTCAGAAGAGCCAGCAAATGTCCCTGGGACTGGCTTGACCCATTTTTTTCTTCTGTTTTATACTTCTGATTTTATCAGAGGAACATAGATCGGGCTTTTGTTACATGAAAGTGAAAGCCATAAAGATTTTTTTTTTTTTTTTTTTTGGTTCAGTTTTAAAGTGGCATTAGGTCCGAGCACATTTTCTAAAAGTCTAGGTGGACTTTCCCGAATGTCAGATTTATAATTAAAATCCGTTTGCTTTGAGCCGAGAAGAAATAAGCACAAATACACAAGGCAGGAGCGATGGTGTAGACCATGGGGGTAGCTGCCTGGGCTACAGAAATTTCCATCTTGACTTCACACTGGCCCCTTGAAACATAAAACTGTCTTCAGGCCCCCACCTGTTCTCACTTCAGCCCTCACGTCTGCTGACCTAATTCCTTGGTCACTTGGTAACCAAGCCTCTACCTATGCAAGAAAGAAAATAAAGTGGGAAGCTGAGAATCTCCTCTGCCCTGCCCTGGAGCTTCGGAGTGAGAGGCTGATCTTGATTCATCTTGAAAGTGAATCTCAAACCATGCATACAGAGCAGGATCCTTTGCTGTTGGGCCCTAACGGAGCATTAAAATGTTGGGCCTGTTTTAATTTGGGTTGAAAAACATCGTGCTCCAATTTGGTTGCAGTTGGGATAATTTTAAGATACATATGGGTTCATTCTCACTTTATAGTTAGTCAGTTTTCTTTTTCCAGTACATGGAAAGAAATTGGGGTTTGAGATAGCTCATAGAATTTTTTTGACGGTCTTGGATTTTCTTTTAATTACAGGGTAACTCCATTTCAATTGTAAGTTCAAAGCCACCTCTGTTATTTCATGTACATTGGTGTTTTGCCTGCATGTATGCCTGTATGGAGATGTCAGGTCCCCTGGAACTGGAGAGACAGACAGTTATAAGCTGCCATATGTATGTGAAAAGTGAACCCGAGTTCTCCTGAAGAACACACAGTGCTCTCAACCACTGAGCCAGCTCCACAGCCCCTCAAAACTCTCTGAAAAAGATGAAAATTATCAAGACTGTAGCTGTGTGGTGGCACTGCAGTTCTCTGTTTTTCTCTCTAGACGAAGAGCTGTTGGATGTCTCTGCATCTGTCTTACCGGAATGGAAGAAAGAAACATGTGGCCAGATTCGAGTGTGTGCAAAACAGAGGTTGGCTCGGTACGGTTCCTTTAACACGGTTCAGACGGCTGAGAAGACAGAGAGGAGAGTGAGCTCAGAGCCCAGCAGCCCACAGGGAGGAAAACAAGGTACTGCCTTTGCTTAGCCTTTGGAGTCCGTCAGTTGCCATGAAATAGTAGCCTTGGTGATACACAGGCATTTTCAAAAGATCTCTCCAGGCCATGCCATTTTTTTTTCCAACGGCCAACTTTTCCCTTGCCAGAAGTCAAACAATTACTGGCTGCAAAAGTGATTATGACTTACAGTGTGAGCATAGCCCCACACCTGAAACTGACCCAATGGCTTGCCATTGAAATATCACAGAAATTTATAACTCGGGAAACAGCGATCGTTTTATTCTCTTTTGCTTGTTCTCAAACAGTAATGGAATCCTCATTAACAGCTAACTTCTGGAAATTGCCCTTTTTGAAACAAAACCTGAACAGATTTGAAGCAGTCTTCACACCCACTAAGCCTTTAAGAGTGGTCTCTGCTCTGTGTGTTTGCACGTGTAAGGTCCTTGACACGCTTGCTAACGCTGATGTCCCCTTTCCAGGGTCAGCTTATACCCTAGAGATTGGAAGTCTGGCAGCCATCTACAGACAGAAAGTTGAAGATAATTCACAGTGAGTAGTCTTTAAGGACCCGGGTCAGGTCACGATGCTGTTCCTGTTGGAGAGGGAGAGGTTGATGGTAACGACTAGCACACATATGAATGGTTGACAGATTCACTGTGGCCTGTTGACTTTTAGAGCTCAGTTTCTTGCTTAAGGAGGCTGTGGTTGGAGAGAAGGGCTCATCTGCAAAACTGGCCCTGGGGAAGGAGGTCTCAGAAGTCTACACAGCCTCTACTTTCCAGAAGTTAATGTAGTCCAAAACATGAACTAAACGTATTCACATATTAAATATTTGGATTTTTTTAATGTATATATATAGACAGTCCAAACACTTAAAAATCTCATCATGCGACTTAATTTTGAATGAAGACTGCCTTAGCATCCTTTATTAGTACTGAGAAAATTGAGAGGATGATAACAAAGTTCCAACCCTGTAGATAAATTGACTTCCTCACCACTTACTTTTGTTCACACTGAATTATGGGTAGACTAGACTGGTGTTCCTTTCCCTCAGTCCGGCCCAGACTTTCCTCCACCCATGCGTGCCTTTGCCCTCAAATGGACCTGCAGTGAGGCCCAACTCCACATCTCTAGAACTATAGCATGTGGATTAACTCTGAACTTGGTTTGGGTTCTCCTCATCGGTAAATGGAAATAAACATAGCTATGACTATAGTGTTTTCCTATGTGTCTGTTAAGGGCCAATCATCAATAATCGTTAGCTGTGGAAGAACCATTGTCAGCCAGTGGTCTAAGACACCCCCCCAACAGCTCTTTCCACGCTGACACTTCATGTCATCCCTAGCCACCCATCAAGAGTTCCATGGTCTGCCTCAGTGTAACCAGGGAAGACATTTGAATATCGTCTGAGCAGTCTTGCCTCACTTCTTACCAGGAAAGCAGAGGCTCGGAGGCTGTGGTAGAGCTCGGTGACTTGTGGTACTCACAGCATCTCTTTCTTACAGGGGGGAAGCCAGTAAGAGCGCCGTGCCTCCAGCAAGCAGCTTGGACCCTGCCCTCCCTGCTGACTCAGAATACTGTGTCAAGCCTTTAGCCCACCCGGTATTTTCTGTCGCTCAAACAGACTTGCAGGCCTTCTCCACACAGAATGGTCTAAATGGACAAGTAGGTGGCCACCTTCCTTCCGTAGCCCCAGATGCAGAGAGCTTAAAGCCAACCCTGCTTGCTGGCCAACCCCTGGTGTATGTGCCCTCCTCCCTCATCATGCTGTGTGGGAGCCTGCAGGAGGGACTGTCCCCAGAGTCAAGATCAGAGGAGGACGGTGGCTCTGAAGTCCCAGCTGACCTGTCCCTGGCACCCTCCGCTCAGAAGCGCCTGTGTGAGGAAAGGAATCCCCACGAGGAAGATGAGCCTGCTATGAAAAGACAAAGTCAGGAATTTGAAGATAGCCCCTTATCCCTAGTCATGCCCAAGGTAAGGGAGTGTGGGAAAATGTGCATGGTGCAATCTCATTGGCTGTGAGCTTAACGGAGATAGATGCTCCCAGGCAGTAGCCTCTGGACTAGAAATATATTTCATGTGTTCCTTATATATGTAACAAATCGTTAGACAGGCTTTCCCAAAAAGTCTCACCATAAAATAAGACTAAGAAAAATGACTTAACAAAATAAAAGACTCACATTTCTTCTAAAATGCCCACAAAAAAAAAAAAAAAAAAAAAAAAGTGTAACACAGAAACCCTGTCTCGAAACAAAACAACAAAACTGAGTCATTAATCCAAGTGATGCCTGGCTGTTCTCTTGTGTACACACGCTAGATATTTTATTTTAAAAGAACTCTTCTAAAACTATCGGAATTTTGACCTGGTTTCTTTGCTCTGTGGTTTGTTTGTGCTTAGAGACCCTCAAACTCCACAGCCATCGCCTCTCCTGTGACTACAGGAGACGGGAGATGTACACCCGTGGAAGACACCTTTGTGAAGAAGGGTCAGCTTCCGGCTGCCGAAGAAGTTTCAGGGCAGGCTGTGGCAAACTGCTGCTTCCTTGCTTCTGAGTGTGGAAACCCATCGAGAAATCCGGACACCGAAAAGCCTTCAAACGAAAACGAAATCGCCAAAGACCCCTCCCTACTACAGTATCTGTATGTGCAGTCTCCAGCAGGTAAGGGATTCCTCGGGCCTTCCACACCTTCACTTCAGCCTTGCCTGTGTCTCCTGACCAGAGAGCAGTTAATGAATTGGTGTGGTGCTGCTCCTGTCTCTCTCCCAGCCGCCACAAACAAAGGCTGAGAGATGCCTGAGGGATAAGAGGATACTTTTTTTTTTAAGGTGTTACACTTTATTTGATGAAGAAACTGCTAATCTAAAAGACAAGTTTGGTTTTTTTTTTTGGTTTTTCAAGCAACACTGGTTCAGAATCATAGTATGAGTATGTCGGCGATTGTGCACAGCTAGCATTTTGATTTTCGGTGTTGAGAAGAACCAAGTACATCATCATGGTCTCCAACAAGAGGGCTTGACTTAAAAACCACTTATTACCTGCATCAACTTAAACAAGCACTCAGACGTTCTCCTTAGTACAAGAATGATAACAGCACCTACTTCTCTGGAGCGCCGAGAAAACCCAAACAGGATGTAATGAGTCTGGGGGACCTAGCGTGACAGTGCCAGCCCTTACTAAGCCTCAGTGGGTCATGTTGCTACTCGTCATATACTGTATTAGAATGCAACACTGTTCAGCTATGTCCCATGTACACACAGTTGCTCTTGATGCAAAGATATTGTATTAGTTACTTTTCTGTGTTAGAAAGAAATACTTGAGGACAAGTTAAAGAGGGGGGGGTTTATTTTAGCTTGTGGTTTGGGAAGGCACAGCCAAAGAAGCCATTTATATTGTGCCTGCTGCAGTCAAGACCCAGAGAGGTGATCACTGGGGCCGCACATGCACAGTACAACGCCTGTGCAAGGATGACATGCAAATCTGTGAAGCATTCCATAGTAAAGAAAAAAGACACAGAGAGGGTTGTTCACTTGGGCTAGAGCTGCCCACATTTAGGAAGCATCTTCCTCACTAGGCAAACCTCCCCGGCAACAGCCTCACAGACACGCAGGCATGTCTCCTAGGTGACTCCCAATTCTGTCAAGCTGGCAATGAAGATCAGCCACCAAATTTCTGAAATTGCCTGCATACAGTTCCTTGCCGACTTAAGTCTGGTCTGCCAGGCAGAGGAGACGGGCATTTCTCTGTCATGTCCTCAGTTTGGATTGTTGACTCTAGGACAACTCAGTGTTGAGGACACTTTAAAGAGTACCACAGACTGGTCCACTGCAGAATTGAACATAGTGCAATATGGGATTTTATTTGGTTGGTTGGTTGGTTTCTTTAACTTTTTTTAACCATTTCTCACTCATAATTATTAGACAGCTGAGGGGAACACATGAACGCCTCAAAGTATTTACGAAGCAGACAACTTAGTAAACAGGCTTATCAAGAGAGACAATTCCATTAAGATTGAAGCAGAAAGTCAATATTTTAGTTATTTACACTAATAAAACCCAGTAGCAGCTGGGCAGCATGAACACTCAGTTCAAATTCCCAGAACCCACGTAAAGCTGGGCATGGGGGTGTGTCTCCATATTCCCGGGAACTCCTGTGGAGAAATGGGAAGCTGAGGCAGGAGAATTCCCTAGAAGCTCTCAGACAGCTAGACTGGTCTGTACGACAGTAGACAAAAGACCCCACTACAGAGTAGAAGGGAGACCCAACACCCAAGTCTTCCCCTCGTGACCACACCTGATTACATTCACACATGCGTCCTTGGAGAGAGAAATTAAAGACTTCTCCACAGGCATTGACCACAAGACCTTGCAGATGAAGGCATCACATCGCCGATGTGATGTAGCCATGTCCGCCGGAAGAGCACAGGATGTTCACCTTCTCCAGGGACAAAGTTCACCATCAGTGATCTGTGACGGAGTCCGGTGGCAGAGCCATGAGGGCTGTGAACATGAAGGGGGTCTCCTATTGTGGTTTTCACTTTGTTCCCCTTCTGTTTCAGGGTTAAATGGTTTCAACATGCTCTTACCGGGCGGTCAAACTCCACACGCTGTGGGGTCGTCCTCAGGCCAGCTGCCACCCTTTGGCGTTCCGTGCATGTTCTTGCCATCTCCAAGCTTGGCCCCCTTCCCAGTTCTGTATTCTCCCACGATACCCGGGCCCATTTCTTCAGCTCCTGGCACGCTCCCAAACACCGGACCCATGAATTTCGGCTTGTCGGCCCTAGGATCTACAGCTCACCTCCTCCTCAGCCCTGCAGCCATGGTCAATCGGAACTCATCCATCCCTACCACAGATCCTCAGTGTCAGCCCTCACTGAACCTGAGTCCAGGGATGCCAAGCTCACACGGTGCCATCCACCCCGAGTCCCCAGGTTACATGAGACATCCGGTATCAATGGGAAAAGTAGAACAGGTGAGACCCAAGGCTCAGTCACTCCGTGATGGATGATGTCTGCATACAGTTAGCTTTCTTCTCGGACACTTGACTAATGCAGAGGTACTCCGTCAGGTCCTACCTATGTTTCAGTGTGAACCATGTTGTCTGCTTATTCCACAGAGCACTGGGCTCCAAGGCAAGAGATGTCATGCTTTTTTTAAGACAAATCTTGTCCGTTGTCATCCTACTTCCCAAGGGTGGAAGGGACCTTATTACCCATAGTTACAGGAGATCTCTACACTTGGACTATTTCCCTGATCTGTCAATCTTCTTTTGGGACTGTTTGAGGAGACCATCATAAATTTAATGACAGAGCTACAGGACAGCTCTGTTCTAACTTGGATACATCTCACTACCAATCATTTCTTAAAACATGCCGCCTGGGAGCTCAGGTTACCCACACACCCATAAAAACACACACATACCATCAGTGACCACATAGTCAGTACTGCGTTTGTAGTCCAGTCAGTAAAAACCTGTTCCGTTCTTTCAAGACTGTGTTCAGAATCACTAATTACTCTCAAGGAACATTATTCTATGTATCCCAAAACTAGTCTGAGGTAAGCTATTTAGGGGTTCAGAAGTCTACTAGGTATTTGAATAATAACGCTACTTTTCAGACATGTCGTGTTTTGGTTGAGTTTTTGCAGTACTGGGAGTCAAGTCTAAGGCAAATGTTCTTTAAGAAGTAACGTTTTGATTAAATCTTAGAGAATTTCATTCCATCTATTTTTATACCCTTCTCCCCAACTCCTCCCTGGTCTCCTTCTCCCTCCCTCCCCATCCAACCTGGTTTTCTCTCCCCTCAGTCTTTCTAAACCCACTAGGTCTAATTTGTGGTGGCCAGCCCTCCCTGGGCATAGGGCCTGCCCCAGACGTGGTCAGTGTACCAGGGGTCACTACATTGAAGTATTACATTAGATTGACTCCCTCTCACAGCAGCTGGCAGATGCCAGGACCTCCTCAGCTCATAATGGGATAGTGTGCCCACCTCTCCAGTGCTGGGGTTTTTATTTTTTTTTTAATAAAAATATAATTACATCATTTTCCACCTCCCCTTTCCTCTGCCTAACCACTCTTATACACACATCCACTTTCTTAGATTCAACCCTAACCCAAACCTGAGGCCTCTATTTCTTTGTAAGATATGTTGTGTATTCATGTATATGTATGAAATTTGCTCGTTCCTATAATGCTACTTGCGTTATTTAATTTTAGGCCTGACTACTTGGTCTTGGATAACCACTTTGGACACTCTTCCCTGAGAGAGGCTGTTTTGTCTCCTCTGTAGTTACCCATAACTCTGTGTCTAGTGTTGAGGCCCTGTGCCGTAATTTTTAGTACGGCTTGAGTTTCCACGGGTCTTATGCATGCCATCACAAAAGTGCATCTCTCCTGTCAGCATAATAATGCCTTTTGATTGCTAGTTAGTAATCAGGCACTGATCTGGGCACTGATCTGGGCCGCTCCCTTCCGTTTTAGGACATATAGAGAGCATATTAGCAGAAAGGACCACACAGTGTATTTGCTTTGTACCCTCTCCACCAAGAGTATCTCAATTCTTCTCGTCCTGTGAAGCTGGTATTCATCCCTGATGGGGATGCAGCAACTGAGGGACACAGAGCTGAAATAATTTGTCCTGTATCACACAACGAAGTGATGCAAGCCACATCTGTAATGTTCTTTGGTTGAGCTGTGCTTCTCAGTGTCTGAGATACTCGCACGTTGTGCTAAGAGTTGGATGGGTGGGAAACATGCCATGGGCAAGCAGAGCACAAGGGACAGGCAGCCTAGTGACATCCGGCGGGAAAGGATCCCCGTCTTGGAGCTCGAAACTGTCATTTCATTTCTGCTTTTGCTTTCTGTCCAGTCACCTGCACCAGCAACTCCCAAGAGTATCCACCGGAGGCAACGTGAGACATTTTTCAAGACCCCTGGCAGCCTTGGAGACCCCATCTTTAGGAGAAGAGAAAGGAACCAATCACGAAACACTAGCTCAGCCCAGAGACGGCTAGAAATCTCAAGCAGTGGGCCTGACTAACCTGATGGCTTCAGTGAGTGGAGTGGCCTCAGCACCTAAGTTCCCTGTGTTCGAGACAATGTCTTAAGTGGAACACAGCCCATCACAGTCCTCAGCTTGTGTCCTTGCTCTCTGGCACCCACTGGTTCTGCTAACTTCCCCATATCATGAGTCAACTATTTTCCTGAAAGTAATTACTACTAATTATGCATTTAATACCAGCTAGAGTCCGGGCTCTGCACGCCACATCAGCAGTACCGACCAACTGGTGTGGTCTGGTTCGAGAATCATCTGAGTACTGGCAGTCAGTCCTGACAGGCTGCTGGAGCCTTGTGGTTTTTCTGAAGTGGAGGACTGTCTAGCACTTAACCAGGGCAAGCGTTGGTGATGATCACTGCTGCCTGCCCTGAGTGCATCTGTGTGAGAACTTTCCTCTGCAGCCTAAACACACTACTGCTGCCTCGGGCTCCAGGAAGCCGCCTTCAGTTACAAACCCTACGGTATTATTTATTTTGTTCCTGAAGTTGGACTCACTGCACAAAGTTTACAACATCATTTCTAACAAGACATCTTCAGGGTATCGTGACTTGAATGTTTAAGACTTTCTTTGTATAATTTGCCCTGCACTTATTCTACAACCTATTAATAATGTGGATAGATGTATATACATGACATGCCAAGACCAAAATAACTGTGAATGCTACACTTAGCTATGAACTGTGCTTGACTCATCTGGGGGCATGGGAGTGAAAACTGAAGTCTAGGTGCCTTGTGGCTATTTCTCTGGTAACTGCCAAACAGTGAGGTTTTGAGGTTTTACTGTTTGTTTAAAACAAAACAAAAAACCTACTCTGCTCAAGCTTCCTTTGCTCCATGCCCTGTGTGGTGTTTTTGTTTTTGTTTGTTTTTAACTTAAATGTTCACTGTACAAAGTCAGGTGTGCGTGCCTTCTCAGAATTGCCATTTGCAGCAAGTTGAATCAGGGTGACAGGAAGGATTGGAGAATAGTAGAACCTGCACGAGAGCTTTGGTTGAATTGTGAAGCATAGTGAAAACAGAAAAATGGAGAGCAATAGCTAATTCTTTTTTCTTTTACTTTCCTCTGGGAGAAGAGAGAGAAGGGACACATCCCTGTCCATTTCCAAGAGTGTTCATGAGTTTTGTGGTCCAGAGAAGGAGCAGCAGGGTTGGTTGATCTAACAAACACAGTTCTGGAAACTGTTGCATGCCTCCCTTTGGGAGCCACGTTGCTTCAGGGATCTACTTTGATCAGTGTGCTTACCTCAATCTTGTCTCTTCACAGTAAACCTCTTTCCCTTTCCTACTTCCCTTTTTCCTCTTTTCTTCCTCGGTCTTTTTTCTCTTTAAACTTCTTAGATCTAGTCTTAATATAAGGCTACATTTTCTCTGTATTTCCGTACCCTGTGATACACCACATAAAAGAATAAAAATTAATTTAAGAGACTCTGGAAGTCTGATGAAAGTAGCTTTTTATATGAAGTATAGGACAACTTTTAGTCTTACTACCCCAACAATAAATAGCTTTTGAAAACTTGAGATGAGTGGCCAGATTTAATACGTTCACTACTCATCAAAATGTTTATCAACACTAAGCTTCTAAAGTTGCAATATGGCATTGTTCCCCTTGTTAAGCTTTTTTTTTTTTTCCTGAATTAGGTAAAAATTGCATGGTGTTGCTGACCCTGAACCCACACTGCTTACTTTCTGGAACATGAAAATCATCCTTTTTCATGAGTTTAACAGACATACAGCAGGTTTGCTGGAGGCGCCTGCATTTAAACTCTGTAAGAAGTCCACATTTCCATGGAAGAAACAAACCTCTTTCCTGGTTCCTGGATAATGTTCATTTACTCTAACTTTTTTGCTGTTCTTTATTACTAGAGTCTTTGCTCTGTTTGTGAATTGACCACATTAACCTCGGAGAATTTGAGATTCTTAGGAGGGAGTTAAGAAGCAATTTCATCAGTGGAAAACAAAGTTACTTCTGGGTGAGGGTCCCACGTAGTATGACTTTTGACTCTCCCAGAAGCCTGGTGCTCTTTAATCGTGCACAGCTGGACTTGAGTGCCTGAGGCAGAGGAACAGTGGTGCTCTAGAGTCTATCACAGAAGTAACTGTCGGTGATACCGCCGAGGACATGAGCCCTGAGCCGGCACTGAGGGGTTGTGCTGCCTCAAGCCACCCTTGCATTCTGGTACAAGAATTGGGGGTATAACCTTATACTTGAACCTACCTACCAAGTTTACATTGCTCAATATAAGGTGCTATTTCTGTATTTAAGTAACTGATGTAAAGCTGCTTTCTGCTTACTTTATTGCACTGCTAGCTTTTTGTAGACGTTAACTTTATTGCTGCTTACTGCTTTGTTTTCATGGTTCTTGGCCCCGATCTTTCCTAGTGGCTATATTATCCGTAGCCATCTACTCGCAACTTTACTACATGTAAACCAATCTTCCCTTTTAGAAAAATACTAAGCTTTATAAAGTAGCAATGAAAATAAAGGCTTTTAGTAAGAAATGCTAGCTATATCACTTTTTCAAACATTGTTGTTTATTGCGTGTGTGTTGGATGGTGTGCCATGGCACATGGGTGGAGGTCAGGGGACCACTTGTAGGAGTCAGTTCTCCCCTAAATGGTGGGTCCTGGGGATCAAATCTAATGGTCAGGCTTAGTGGCAAGCACCTTTTGCCTGCTGAGCCATTTCACAGGCCCTTTATATTTCCTGGTGGGTTTTTCTTTGCTACTGATTATTGTACAATTGTCAACAGCTACAGCAGCCACATAGATACCTCCTGTGATTCTCACACTCCAGAAATAACTGCACTGAGCTGACCTGAGAGCTTGAGAATTAGGACCATGCTGTTGGCCTTGCGTTGGCTGCATCCAGCTGGAAGTTTAGAAGTTCCAGACTTGACTGATGTCAATTCAGAAGTCACAAATGAGACTACCTTCCCAGCTCCTGGTATCCATGAGGTTAACGGCTGGTTGGTCTAACACATGCTCGCTTCCATACATACCAAAGTCTGCTATCAGCATGCGTCTAGACTCAGAGGGTATGGCCCATGCTGCATTAGGTGTCTGCTCTTCCACCACATGGGTAGGTGGGACAGGCAGCTGTTTCAGCTGCTGTGGTTTGAAAGAAAATGGCTCCCAAAGGGAGTGGTCATGTTGAAGTAGGTGTGGTCTTGTTGAAGGAAGGGTGTGGCTGTGGAGGCGGGCTTTGAGGTCTCATATGTGCTCAAGCCACACCCAGTGTCTCAGACCACTCCCTGTTGCCTGCAAGCCAAGAAGTAGGGCTCCTTCTCTAGCACCATGTCTGCCTACGTACCACCATGTTTCACCATGATAAAAGTGGACTGACCCTCTGACATCTCAAATATTTTCCTTTAAACAAGTTGCTGCGGTCATGATGTTTCTTCATAGCAACAGAGACCCTAACTAAGACAAGTGGTCTTAGTGGGGCTTGTGTTTGAACATCTATGGCACGAGGAATGCATTTCCCTCCCCACACTGTTCCTCCCACAGACCCTGGTTCCCACATTAGCCAGCCCCATGCTGACCATGTCATATCCCCCTTAGTGTCTTTTCTCCTGACTGAGAAGGCCCAACCAAACTCTACCCTGCTCACCTATCTCCCAAGGCGAGTCAGTCACCGGAATTGGCTTCCTGCTTCAGAAAGGGCTAGGGGCAAGCAACAGGGAACACTTCCCCTCATTCCCTGCAGGCAAGCAGTAGAACTGTGCAGTTCTGGTGTCCTCACTAAATCTACATTCAATCCCGCTTCACCAAGCTTTACACAACCTTGAGGGTGAGGAGACCCGATGGACGCGCTACTCATGTTTTGCAAACCCTCCATCATTTCTGCAGAGCCTGCTGACATACCAAATGTGTTGTAATTGGTGGTGCAGCCATACTTTAATAATAATCCTGTTACAATAGCCTTCTGTCGTTCAGGGCACCCAAATCGGAAGAGGACCACTGAAGCAGTTAAGGTTAGATTGATTCTGTGTCTTTTTGTGACCTGAATGCTTCCAAAAACCAAAATGCCTTCCATTCCTTGTGTGGCCCACTGGCAGCCTTTCGTTTCAATGGCTCTTGTAACAAGAGCTCTGAAGGGCTGGGGTGTTAATTGGTATTAAGAATGAAAGTGGGTCAGGCGGCCGTGGCGCACACCTTTAATCCCAGCACTCGGGAGGCAGAGGCAGGCGGATCTCTGAGTTCGAGGTCAGCCTGGTTTACAGAGCTAGTTCCAGCACAGGCTCCAAAGCACTGATAAAATTAGACAGTGTTCAAGGGAGGAGGTGTACTCGTGTGTGCCTGTGTAAATGGGGGAAGGGGGGGACAGCAGTCAAAATCTGGTTTCTTCCTCTGCCACTTCCCACTATTTTGAGGTGGTGTTCCCTCAGTGAGCCTCCACCTCCCTCTGCCACTCCTCATCTGTCTCTAGTTACAGATCTATACTATGTGGGTGCCAGGGATTTGAACTCCAGACCTTGTGCTTGCAACCCTAAGCACTTTACCCATCGAGCCACCCCCCTAGCCTCACGGTCCACTCACTCTTCACTACAGGGGTACACACTCTAGTGTCTTTGACTCAAGAACTGGCTTGTGTATGTATGAAAACGGAAAACAAATCAGTGCCCCCAAGCTAACTTAATACTTAGCTTCTTCAGGAAGGAGGTCATGTGTGGCTTTTATCTGTATACACTATGACTGCCTCAAAGGCATATTCTGAGACACTGGGGTAATAGAGAGTTGCCATAAAAGTTGTATTTTAAAAAAAAAAAATTACTAAAGCTTAAGCCAGGCATTGGTGGTGCACGCCCTTGATCCTAGCAGAGGCAGGCAGATCTCTGTAAGTTCGAGGCCAGCCTGATCTACAGAGTTCCAGGACAGGCTGCAAAGCAATACGGGGAAACCCTGTCTCAAAAAAAACAAAAAATACTAAAGCTTCAGAGGGGCCATTTCATTACATGGCTTCAGGTACAACAATTACCTAACACTGTATCACATGGGGGTTTTCGTTTTAATTCAAAAGAACGGGCTCCACAGTATAAGCAATGTTTGTAAAATCAATTTGGTCAAGAAAGTCTTCCCTTAAACTCAGTCGCATCCTGCACAGCATCCTGTAAACGCTGGCACAAGCCCTCCAGTCTCACCCCTGCTTCCAACTTGCCTCACCAGCCATTTGAGTCACCCTCTACTGACTGCCCGCGTTTGCCCCTAGCCCCCTCTATT